CTTTCAACCTCCGAAGCTTCATGTTCGAAAGCGGCTTGTTCTTGATCAACGAAATTAGCTAAAGTCATTATTATTATCGTAATTAAATAAGTTTATTAATATATTTATTTATAATTTACAAATAGGTTGTAAAAAAAAAAAAAAAATCTGATTTTTACAATATAATCATTTCTAAATTTGTATATAATTTTGATCTACACAATAATTTCGAAAAGATCCCTCCAAGATGAACATCAAAAAAGTGAATTGGTTTTTTCATGGACTCGTGTAACATTGCGGAAAGGATTGTGTATATAATAATAATTCTAGTTTAAATTTTCCAAAAAAGTAAATTACTATATTATTATTCAGTTGGTACCATTACTATTTATTATTACTAATAATATGGCGCCTTTACAGATGCGCAGGACGTACGCTAACCAATTTGAAAAATATATGCAGGCTTTTGTATGGCTCTCTAGACACGATTATTTCCTTACTATTTATTTATAGAGATTATCAACAAACATAAAAAATACACATGTCAAAAATGACCGTAGATCATTTTTTAACTTTGCAACAAAAACTAGTAAGGAAACCTGTTTTGATGCCCCAAATAAAATTTTCTAGAAATATAATCGTGTTAAATTTGTTAAATTGTTTTGAATTTGGTTATTAAGATTGCTTAATCAGTTCCCAATACACATAATAAAGGCATATCAAAAAAAGTTTACCCCAAATTGGTTGGAAATTGGCAAAATTGCATGCATTACAAAAAATTCAATCATTAAAAGGAACAGAGGAGAATTTTTTGATACATCAAAAAACAGAATGGAATAATCGTCTAATTTAAATAGATATATAGTATGTCATGTAGAGCCATAAAAAATAAATGGTATCCCACTAGGTATTAATGTATGCAATTTTGCCAATTTCTTGAAAAAAATCTTTTAATAACCAAATTCAAACAACCTGTAAATTTTTTTTCTAAGAAAGTCAAAGCCACACTATAAAAATTATAGCAGAGATCAGGAGATTTTGTCATGCCAATTTTTTTGTATTTTCTGAAAATTTTACTTAGGGCATCTCAAACAGGTTTTTTATATACTAGTTTTCGAGTATTTTTAAAAAACGATTTACATAGTGTTCAGTCATTTTTGGCAGGCAAGTAGACACAATGAAATGATTTTTAATTTAGGCGAAATTTTAAATTTTTATTTAGAATTAGGACGATTATTTTGTGGTTGTGAAGAATTGTATTTAATTAGTCCAACTACTCTCTTAAGTGGAACACGAAATGACACCAACTCCTCTTGCAATTGTTGAACATTGATGATTTCTGTGATGTTATATGCTAAATTTGCTTCTTTTCGAACATTCTCTAAACATCGAATCCACTTTTGGTAAATGTTTGTACAGAGTACAAAACTTAATTTTTCCAAAGTCTTAAGTGTATAAAGCACAAATACAAAAAATAATGAGATTTAAAAAATAGATTTTTCAACACATTATAAAAGCTTTATTTTACAGATCGAGATTTTTTCATTGTACAAAACTCCAAAAATTGTGTTTGTTATTATTATTATTATACAAAAATTATGTACGGAATTTTTAGTTAATTTTCCACAAAAGTGGATTTCAAATCCGAACCTTTATTATCAACTTTGTGGCCAGGGTTCCTATCTATATATTTGTGTTTGATAAAGTATTTGGCACTTGGATTTTGTTTATAAGTTCTTCAATTTCAGAATTATAAATATTGTAGAGTTATCATTACTTGAGTTATTATTATTATTTGTATATAATATAATAATAAGAATTCTTGAATTTTCAAGGAAAAAAATAATGTTAACACCAAAGAGTCAAATGATATAAATAATGATAATAACGTAAAAAAGTTTGATTTAGTTGCATCGATCTCTGAATAAAAGATTTAACATTTTTACCACTACCACTGCTTTCTTCGCCATCTCTTATTACTTTTGCCTCCCACATTTCCATCATCATCAATGATTATAATATCCATATTATCATTTTAACTTGCAATTAAAATAAATATACACCAATCCAAAGTACATTCAAGTGTCAATTGTTTATTTTTCCATCATGTATAAAAAAAAAAAGTGGTTCAGAAGCAAGCTGATGATGTGGGAGCTGATTCTACTTAGTTTAACAAAACGAGGTCAAATTTTTGATTTATCGATAATATATAATTTCGTGTAGAATTATGTATGGGATCCCTGACATTTTTAGGAAATAAACTATGGTTGGCTCGGTCTAAAGACCTCCTATTACAGCGCCATACGGCCAAGTTAAATTATTTCTTACTGCCCAAACTTAAATATGATAGTCATGAGATTTAATAATGATCTAGGGGCCGTGAACAGAAAGTGACTTCTATACTTTTAAAAAATTTATGCAAATTTAGAGGTCTTTAAGTTATTTTCCGTGTAATAGAGGATGAATAGAATAACTCTAATACTTACTTACATTCTTCAATGAACATATATATCCACCTTCAAAAATCTAATAGGATAAATGTTATAAGCTTATAAGTTTGTTTATAAGTATTGTCATTTTTTTAAAACATTTGATCCTCGTGAAAGTAATTTTTAACAGGATTTTTGTAATAAATAAAACACTTTGTGCAGGTCGTGGTGGAGCTACAATTGAAAATGGTATTGCGACGGTGGAAAACAAAACACATGGTGTTCATTCTATATTGAATATAAATATGAAAAAATTATGTCATTGGAATATTCTTGGATACCTTGGATCATCATCCTCTGTATGCAAGCCTGATCTTCTCAAAAAATCAGAGCGTCCAACAGGATTAGAACTCGATTATTATTATTATCCAGAATTACCACACGAAGAATATATTGTTATATAATTCTTTCACAAAGACGATCCTGATTGTTTTATTAAACAGCAAAGCCTGGGATCAACTCAAGAATTATGCGAAGAGAATTGGATTGTCTTGAGAGAAGTTAGTTTGGTATTACATCTTTTATTGAATAAAATTAAGACTTTAAAATGCTTTAATGATTCATTAATCAGATGATTTATTTATTTATTTTGCAAAACAAGCAACATAAAATACATTATGTCATTCCATTTGTTATATTGATTTCAAATTTTATGGTATTCATTTTTTATGTTTCAATTAAAGACTAGTGCTGTAATCCAAAAAAGGAAAAAATATGGTGCAAAAGTGGTCGCAAAGGTAATTTGCAACCACTTTTTATATGTCGTAAATACAATTACTACCATCATCATAATTTACAGCACTAGTCTTTAGTTTCAATATCTGTGACTTATAATCATATAAAACTCGCAACTCTATCAGCCTCAGTATTTGGTTTCACTTTTTTTGTACCAGTTCTCTCGTCATCTGCTGAAAGACCCCGCTTCAATAATAGTGTATGTGCTTTGTGATATTGATTGTAATGATCATTGATACGATAATACCCGTTCATAATCACAGAGTTCTAGAATATTACGGTGAATTAATTTCACATACTAGTACAGCCAAACATAACAAAAATCGAAAAAAGCTAACCTTCGCTATTTCTTTTTTTTTTTCTGTCATCTTTTGTTTAGTTGTAACCTTTGTTGCTTTTCCTCTACGAACCAGGGTTGGCAAACGTGCGATCCATTGATGGTCTATTGATGGTCCATTGGGTCCATTAGTGTAACACTTAACCATATTTAGTATTTTATTAATGGCAATGGACCAATCCAAAATCCATCTGTTCTCAATGGACCAGTCAATTTGCCAACCCTGCTACGAACCCTTTGTAATTTCTGCTGATCCTAAAAAGTAATTTGATTAATGTCAAAGAATAAAATAGCCTGAAGGGTATCACTTTAGTGAAGCCAGGGTCGCACCCTACGCTTCGTGCATGCAGCACGGATATTGTCTCCCCCAGAAAGTATACCAAACCGAAAATCAGCCAGATTCGACCTAACAGGCCTATCCGTATTAGAGGACGCACCTCTCCAACAAGCACGCAGCTCGGCATAGATAATCAGTCTTCAAGCTACTTCATTATATCTTCAGACATTAAGTAAAATATTATTAATAATATTTACCTTCAGTTGATCTTCCATTAATTTACACAGTTATTATTATTATTATTATTCGAAACTTTTGTGGGTCAAACCTTATAATTTTATATATGATCGGCAGGGTTAGGATGTTTGTTACTATGTTTATATAATTTTTTAAAATTCTATTTACACACAATGACCTAAATGAGCTCGTCTATGAACTACATATGCTATCATATCGAGTGATAACCGTAAAAAACTTACAAAAAATTGATCCGAGTAAGATAATACAGTAATAATAAACTACTTGCCGGTTAAAAAAAATTTCTCTTAACATTCATTTTTACGTCTGGAATTTTAGTGCAGGATTCAGCGGAATAAACATTTAATTGAGATGGTCCGCCTACATTACTTAGAATGACAAAAAAATATACATTTGCTCAAAAAACCAAATATAATACGTAGCAGGATAAAAGACAGTTAGAATTTCTCTTCGTAATACAATTTCTTATTTTAATTATTATTATTATTCGTTTTATTCGAATAAACTTTCAATGTAATTCGAATACTAACTTCATAACGAATAAAACAAATAATTCGAATAAACCTTATTCGAACAATTAAAGGCAAGATATTATAGCAACAATAGTCAATAATAGTAATAATAATAATAATAATAATAATAATAATAATAATAATAATAATAATAATAACGATGATAGTAGCAATAATAATACCGGGAGGCTTAGTGCCATCTGAAAATTTTTTTCATCAACTGGGGTTTATTTAAGTTCTTAGCCGGCTAAGGTTTTTCTACCAGCTAGCATCGCTAGTACAATATCTTAAATAAAAAAGTTGGATGGAGTTGCATTCATTTAAAAACATTATTATTAGGAGTATTAGGAAGTAGAAATTTTAAGAATTTTTGATATTTCCTTTTCATAGACCATAAATAGTACCACGTTCAAAATCAGCAAGCTCTCTTCAAGAAATGGATTCAATTTGTTTTTAAAAAAATTATTATACTGTGTATATTATATATGTTAAAATTTCAATTTTTAAAAAATAGTATATTTACAAATTTTGTAATAAAAAACTCTGTTAATTATTGACATTTTTGAAAATATCACGACTACAGTCATATTAAGGTTATAATGATTTACGGCTGAAACCCGGTCGCGACTCAGTCGACTTGAAAAATTTCTAGTCGCGGCTACGACTAGTCGGCTAGTAGCACTACTAATAACCTTCCTATATCTGCTCAAGTCCTCATTCTACCTTTTATTTGGTGAAATAGGATATAAAGTAAAAAGTAACATTATCAATATCATATTCTTATTTCAGAAGGTGTCCGGCAACCTGAACATGTTGAAATGGAACTGGAAATGCACATGAGCGAAAAGAACGAGTTGTTTCTATAGAATAAGGAAGGAAAGCATTTGAAACTGTAAAAAAATTCCTGTAACAACAAGAATTAGCTACAGAAAAAGATGTTAAATATGTCTAATAAATCACTTAAATAGTTCTGTAGATAAAAAAACAAAATCCAATCCTTGTTGTTAAATAATAATATTAAAAATAAATGAAATTACTCTTGAGCTATATCCCACAAAAATTCCGGGGATATAAAGAGGTATGTATGACTGTATATATGACTCATTATATTTCTTCGAATCAAACTAGGTATATGCTCAAGAATGTGTATTTCAAATTTGTGCATTGCATATTTATAAACAGTTATAAGCGGAGATAATTTGTGATATATGAATTTATATTGAATTTATATTGAATTGGCATAATAATATGCGTTAATTAATTTATTTTATTATTTTATTAAAAATTATAAAATTTTGAAATAGAAATATAAAAATAATACATTATTAAAAATTAAAAATTACACATTAATAATAATAAATTAAGAAAAATTTTGAATTTTTCGTTTCTTTGTTTTTTTTTTTGAATTGCTTCAATATTTTCTTTACATTAGAGAGCAATGGTTTGTAGCATTTTCAGGTTTTTCAGTGGCACCTTTTGAAATGGTGGCTGAGCTGACAATAGTTTGAGCGATAGCTTGAGTTGATTTCATTTTTGTAGATTCGTAAAATTTTGTTTTTTAAATTTAAAAAGTTGATTTTTATTTTTTATTTTTTATTTTTTTACTCTTCAAGAGATATTTGTTTTATTTTTGTTTTGGTTTTTTGTATTGGAAAAAATTTTTGAGACGAAGAAAGACTGTATATTTATAAGAATTTACAAACAATAGTTAATTGTAACAATACCAATATTAAGCTTATAAATTTTGTTTATATAACATAACCCTTTTTTTTACTTGTTTCAAAAATAAATTAAAAACATCAATGCAGTTCCATAGAACCCAGAACTGGGGAAAATATTTACATTGTGATAGTATTCGTACTCGTATTATTCATGAAAAAAAAAATACGAGTTTCATAATATAATATGAACACAAATTTACTATTATAAATAAAATGTTATTTTACAAATCAATCTCGATTCGACCTTAATATTAATACTATTTGTAATACAATTCAATCTTAATATGCTATTACTATTATTAATATTAATTAATATTATTCGTAATGTAATTCAATCTTAATTCGAATTATATTAATATTGCAATATTCAATAAAAATCATGTGATTGTCAAAATGTCAAACGTTTTGGTATTTTCGTTATTTTAATATGTAAATAATAAGATAGATTAAGAAATAGATGGCTTAAACTATACTTAATTTATCATTATCATTTCACGTTCATCATAAAGAGCAATTTTCAAAGAATTCTTTTTTCTTTTTGTGTATAGCGGAAGAACGAATTAATGTAAACTTTAGTAATTGTCCTTTATTAATAATTTACTGAAATTCATATAATTACTCAATTATAATTGTTCAACCTCAAAAAATTTTCATAAATTAATTATTCTTTGCATTTACCGAAAAAATAAAATGTTCGATTTTCTTAAGGTTTTCGTTTCAAATGCATACATCCAATTGCAAATATATCTATTTACGAATTATGGTAATAGATGACGAGAATGGATAAATTGCTGTTTAAAGTAGGTAAAGCCTAATTTTTTTTTCAACAACAATAATTTTCGTAAACGTTTTAAGGTAATCCTTATCGATAGGCCAAATGATTCTTTGTTAAAGGCATCATAAAGGAAAGCTGTATAATAAAAATATTTACTTTTGTCAATTGTTAATGTAATTCTAATTCTATAATAAAATAGGAAATTATAATCAAACAACTATGATTTGTTATTATCCAGTCTTATCTTTGGTACTATGTAAAGTTATGATTAATCTAACCATTCTTTTTTATCTTAATTGGATCTAATTTTAGCCATCCCCTAGATTTGTTAAATTCAACTATCAAATACATATACATATGTAATAATTGGATATGCGCCCCTATTGAACGACTGTGCAATTTTTAAGTAATGCTTTAACCCTGAGAATTCTATTGAGAAGAGCATCTACATTCGTCAATTGACATTTCTCCTTCACGTTCATACATAAGATTTATATTGTGAGGAAGAGATAGAGGAGATAAAATCGTTATTATCAATTTTTTATTTTGGGTTCCCTAATAAAATAAACATGAGAAAACTCCATTTAATCACTTTCTAGATTCTGTAAAAATCATTACCTTTTTAAAATAAATCCTTAAAATTTGTAAATAAACTTTTAAAAAACAAAAAAACGTTATTTTGTTTTTGGTTTAAAGTGAATGGTAACAACTGTTAGTGAAGTAATATTGTCCAAAGATTGATTGGAAATACTGATAGTTATTACAAACATAAGGCTGTTAAGCAAG